TTTAGCAAGACCCTATATCAAAATAAAAAGAGCTGGGGTCTTGGCTGTGGAGCATTTGTCTAGTATACACAAGGCCCCCAAACAAACAAATCGCTTAACTGGATGCCAGGGATTTCAAACACAAAAATAATATACATAAATAAAGTTGATTTCAAAATAAAAGGAAATTAACATTCTTAAATGATAACTTGAAAAACGGGACATTTCAGGGGCTGTTTAAAGCATTCTTAATTTTCTTTCTTATTTCAGGACAAATCTGGGGTAAAGTTTAAATTTTATCAATATAATTTAGAGTTAAACACAATACTAAAATTTAGTCATAACCAATTAAAAATACACCATTTATAGCAAAGATTCTGTAGAAGGCCAGAAAGTTATTATTTTAGGCTTTGGAGGTGATACAATACTTATCACAACACTCAGTTCTGCTGTTGTGGTGTAACAGCAGTCACAGACAACACACATTGAATAGGAATGGGTTCTATAATCTTTATTCACAAAACTAGGCAGGTGGCCCACTTTGACTCCAGTACTATTGTCTGCTGACTCCTCATCTATGGCTTTCAAACTAGCAAATAAACAAAGGGAAAGGAGAGCAATAAGAAAACTTCATCCACCCAACAGAGAGCTAGAAAGAAATGAATAAGAGAAAAAGCGAGGAAAAAAAATGTTTCTAACAAAGTTCCAGGTTCCAACACGTCTGAAGGTTAAGCAGCTCTCCCAGATTTGGCTGCCACCTCCTGTCCAGTGCTGATCATAACAGGCATTCAGAAACACCTGCAGAATTAACCAAGTGTAAGCAATAATCCTATTTCATGACTTTAACTTGGACCTAAGCTTTACTTGGGGAAAATAAATGTTTTTTCCCTTAAACAATGATTAGGAACTTTCCCCTGTTTGATTTTTTTTTTTTTTTTTTTTTTAGCATTTGAAACTATTGCTTTGTTACTAGGGAATTATTCGATTTTACTTAAAAAATTAAAAGACAATAATATTAGTATCAGTAGTAGTAGAAATAGAGTAGTGGGCTGGGGATTTAGCTCAGTGGTTCCATCGCCTGCCCCACAAGCATAAGGTCCTGAGTTCAATCCCCAGTACCAAAAAAAAAAAAAAAAAAAAAAAGTAGTAATCAAAACAGTAATAAGGTTTGCCATTTCTTATATAACACTGTAAGTCCCTGATGCTGTCCTAAGCACTGCTCATATACAAATGCATTTAATAATCAGTTACTCTGTGAAGAAAATGTAACAAATAAGGAAAGCGGGTACAAAGAGGCAAAAGACTATAATCATGACTAATAAGCTGCAGAATAAGAATCTAAGCCTACATAGCTTGATTTCAGAGTAATAAAATTATTATTTTTATGGATGGAATTAACTACACATAACAACAAACATGCTGTATAATTTTAAAATTAAAAAAGAACACAAGAACACTCACCTGATTTTTCATATCTTTTAAGCCTGAGGCTCAAAATGACAATACAGTATGTTTCAATAAGCGTGGATAAAATAACTACAAACGCCTCAAATACGCTTTCTTTTCCCCACCATCTCTTCTACAAACAAAGGTTTCTGTCTTTTTTTTTTCTTAGCCCACTTAGAAGTGAGACATGAAACCACTACACCCACATAGAGTAGGTATAAGACTAAGAACTGAAACTCCTACATACACATGAGTACTCTTCATGCCAAGGAATTCAGGCCCAGAAAGATAAGATGCAAATCAGTAAGTAACTCCATTGTTTGCTTTACAAACTTCCCTTAAATCCCTCTATCCCAAGGACAGACAGTCCCTTTTTCACAAATTTCCCTGAACTGAGCAAACAACTCACTTATCACACAAGTGTATATTTGCAAGTCGTAGTTAAGACCCTGGACTCTTACCTCTAAACACAGTTCATGACCTGTGCCCAGTCTCATCAGATCACCTCCCTGAAGGACTCATATTAAGCCTCTCAAGGGTGGACCCCAATCTCTACCACATTTAACCATGAGCTTTTCTTCAAAGTCTAAGAGTCCAACGAGGGTGTGCTTTTCCTCACTGTAATAAGCAATAAACTTAGCCCTGCTTCATCAGCAGGATACTCTCACCTTTGGAGGAGGTGATGGGGGTCAGCAGCCATCAAATGCTATTTCATTTGCTCTATCAGCAACTTCTCCAGCCCCGCCCCCAGCCTTTTTGGTTTTTTAATCCCTTCTTTCATGCCTGTACTAGACCAGAGGTACCACTCAGTACAAAGGATGGGGTTATTAAAGAAATAGATAAACATAAGCCAACAATTTAAAGGAACCAAGGGAATCACAATAAATTCAATATGAGATTTCAAACTGTACTTCATTTTAGCCATGGCTTAATCTGAATCGAGTTAATAATATATTTCATAATGTGTCTTAGTATCCCTAAAATCTAGGTTGAGAAAGAACAGGAAACAAAAAATGGAAAAGCAAAGCCTTTGAATGCCAAAGTTTACTCTGTCATCTGAAAAGATTCTATGAAATTTTGTTTTGCCTTAATTAACGTACATCCCTAATATAGCCCAGTGGTAAAGCACCGGCCTACCATGTAGAAGGCCCTAAATTTGATCTCAAGCACCCCACCCCCCCAAAATTAAAAGAAATGTAGTTAATCTTCCAAGTATAGGTCTAACTGAAAATGTTTTGTTTTTGAGGTACTGGCTATTAGACCCAGGGTCTTCATATTGAGGTACTTTCCCAGTCCCTCCTCCCTTTTTTTAAATGTTGGGACAGGGTCTCATTAAGTCACCAAATTGTCTTAGAGTGCTAGGATTACAAGTGTGCCTGGCTTAAAAATGATTTTAACCTGTATGAAAATAAAAACTATATATAATAAAATTGGTCATTTTGACATCACCTTTTCTGTATGTTATCATGTTTATTGGATTTCAGTTACATTTATCTGTATAGTTATTATGGCATATAGCTATTATTTGTTCTTATTCCACTTTATCTCAGCCTTTTGCATGTATCACATTTTTTGTTAGAAAAGATTTAATTAGATAAAAATCTAACTGAATGAAACATGTTAAGGGTTTTTTTTAAAGTTGAAATGGTTTTAAAAGTAAGATATGTTTTTTTAAGTACAAAACTTTAAGAACTTGTCTTATCACTTTGAAACATGCATGTATTATATATGTGTGCATATATATGTGTGTATATTCTGTTTTTTAAAATCCTAGGATCTTAAATTGAACTCATTTTTCTCATCTAGGGAGATATGAGTTATGTGTGTATGTAGTATAAGAGAAATGAACGCAACATAAGATCCCCAGTTTTTTCACAGACTTTTAAACATTTACCTTGCTAGGACTCCCTGTGGAAGTGTTATGCTTTTGGTTTGCTGCTGTTGGGGCAATACATCTAGAGAAAGCAAGATTAATGTTTAAAAAAAAAAAAATCTACATCCTGTGTTATCTGCACTAAATTAGAGGGCCTAACCTCAAAGAACTTCAGCCTGCATATCTGGAAAAGAATGATAAATACATTTATTTGACATCCTCGCTTTGAAGATTAAAAGACATAATGTATAAGATTCCAACCAGTCTGCAACCTGGCACATAGTGGTAAGTTCTTCACATATGTTTGTTACCCAGTATGCAACTAAGTTCCCTACAATTATAATTCTAAGGGTCCCTCAGTTATTAAAGCACTTCTTAAATAATTAAAGAAGCATTAATTATGCAACAAGATGTTTAAGCTTCATGTCTTTTCAACCAATAGCTTTACTTCTAGGAAACTAGCTAGAGGAAATGATTGGAGATATCTTCAAATATTTATGTACACAGATATTCTTCAAAGCTTTACTTTTGATTTCAAAAACCAGAAACAACCAAAGTATTCAAATATTACACTATATCCATATGATTGGTATTAAATATGAAATAAACTATTAAAATATTCACAAAGTCAAGAGTAGACAAAAAGGCTCATGAAAATTAATTAAAGCAATAGTCTATAACATACCAGTGATGTTAACAATTATGTTTCTCAGTGCATGCATCTCCACACACATTTGGAGGAAATGTATAAAATTTTAACAGTGGCCAGGTGTGGTGACACACACCTGTAATCCCAGATACTTAGAAGGCTAAAGTAGAAGAATCCTAGGTATGAGATCAGCCAGGACAACTTAGAGAGTTGTCTCAAATAAGTAAAGAAATAAAACAAAATAAAAGGGGCTGGGCTGGGAATCTAGCTCAGAGCTAAAACTGCTTATCCTGAGTTCAATCTCCAGCCCCACAACAAAAAAAGTAAGCAAATAAATAACTATCTCTGGACAATAGAAAACAGGTAAAATTTTGTTGTTTTCTTTTTAATGTATTTTTATTTTACAGTTTTTCTATTCTATCCACAAATTATGCTTAGGAAACATAACATTTAAAAACATATTATATTACATATCGTTAATATACTGTAATTTTTAAAAGATGGTCTTTTTAATTATGCTGCATCTCACTTCTAAAAATTGTGGATAGCTGAAGGAATTAAAATAGATGAGGAAATTGAGATTAAAAATAAGGGAAAACTTGTGTTCTCTTTATATGTGTGTGTGTGTGTGTGTGTGTGTGTGTGTGTGTGTGTGTGACACAGTCAAAGAGCTTGTCTCCAACTTTCTCAGGCATGGTAAATACTGTGGTCAATACAATATTCAGAGTGCTATTTGAATGAGCTAAGTAAATCACAGTCATGTGAGTAGAAGCCCAGAGGAAGATTAAAAGTCAAGGACTCGAGATAAATGAACAAGACCATGATCAGCAACCCATGGAACGCCTTCTAAAAATGCAGATACACAAAGAAAGACACAGATTCACACAGATTTCCCTTTATAATTTTCCCTTCATTAATGTCTTCAAAGAGAAAATAAATTTAAATGTCAAACATATACTTTATTGTGTAAAATGTATCAAGAAAATGAACATTAACAAAATAAGCCCTCCAAACAAAACATTTTGGGCGTAGTGTATTCAGTGCAGCACTCACCTTCACTGACAGCGTGGGGCTTAATGATGCAGCAGGTACAGTTGGTGAATTTGGCAGTGTTTGCTGGCCCACAACCTCCACTGGAAGGGAAAAATAATTCCATTTCCTAAAGAAAGACAGAGAGTGATGACTATGACACACACAATCTCTCATACTGAATTTACAGAATATGTGGTAAAATGATATAATTGCCTTAAAGTTTCATCTCTGTTTCAGATATACTAAAAATGAGTTTTACCAAAACTGATTAACTTAACCCTATCTCAAGATTTATACTCAAAAGAACATATAAAGAAGTATTAAAGCAATGCAAATATGGGACATTCTGTTCCAGATCAAAAGTTGACACGGTCTTAATAAATTTTAAATATCAGAAATAATCAATATAAAGTTCTTATTTCCTGCAAAGAATAGTTCATAAGAAATAGATCTGATTTTTAACTTTTTAAAAAATGTGGTACTGGGGATTAAACCCTGGGCCTTCTTAGTGAGCTTTATCTCATCTTTTGTTTTTTATTTTGAAATATGGTCTCACTATCACTAAATTTGCTAGGTTGAGCTCAAACTTGTGATCCTGCTGCCTGAGTCTCCCAAATTCCTAGGACTATAAGTGGGTACTGCTACACTTGGCTTAATTTTAAATTTTTCACTAAAATATGTAAAATAAAATTAAAAACAAGGAAATCGTGCAGGACATGGTAGCACACACTTGTAATCTCAGCAAAAGGAAATCTGTATAGAAATAGATTAATGTTCAGAAATCAGAGTATTAAAGTTAGTGAAAACTAAGCTTATTATATAGTTCTAGTATAAGTCAAGTACAATGAACCATATTTATATTTTATATTCTGACTCAGGCTGTGTTGTTTTGCACATGATTCATCAAAACCACAGCCCAGCGATCACAACTAGTCACAAAGATGGTCACATTTATCAGTTCTTTTAATTATTTAGGTGCTTTCCTGCCTTAACCTTTTACCATTATTTCCTTTCCTTCTATAAAACTCTCTGTCCAATCTCCGAAACCCCTGCCACTGTGTGAAAGGTTGCTTCGAATAGCTTGTCCTCTAGGAGGCTTTTCCTGAGGCCTCCAGTAAGCTCTTGGTCCTCCCTCAATATTAAGGTGCTTCAAGTACTTGTCCTCTGTCGAAACTGTGAAGTAAGAAACTAACTGGCAGAACTAAAACAATGCCTATTTCAAACTAAATATTCATTTTTCATTAAATTTGAAATCAAAAGGCCATAGGCTGTGTTAAGATGGTACACTAATGAATATTTATTTTTGCTTTACTTTTATTTTGGTAGTGCTTGGGATCACACTCAAGGCTTGTGCATGCCAGGTGAGTGTTTCACTATGAGGTGACATCCCCAGCCCCTGATTATGTTTTTAAAAGAGGGGAGGGGGGAATAAGTGGAATTATTCACATACTAATGTATATGCTTGAGCTACTCCAGGGATAAGACATTTTAAAGCAAAATAAAAATGTTCTATTCCTTAGACATCAAGTTCCCCTCTATCATACTGCTGACCTTCTTACTCTTGTTGATCAGTAACATCAAATACCACTTCTAAGTGTGTACCAGATACTTGGGCTACCTAGTTCTATAGAACCTCATGGTACAGATTAAATTAAACTAAAGGGGCCTGGCAGGTAATCAAGGAAGGAATGAAACAGACCTGTTCTTACTACAGGATAGCAGTCAGAACAAAACCTCTAAACATCTTAGGTTCTGGCATTCCTCCACACAGAACGTCCGTGGTCTCCCACCTTGTTTGGAATGGATTTCAAAGTCCTCAGATGTCCCACAAGGCTTTATATATCTGCTTGCTGGCTGTACCTCTGACATAATATCCTTCCATTTCTACCAGCATTATGGCCTGGCCACTTCCCTGTTCTTTGAACTTAACAATTGTATGCCCATTTCAGAATATTTGCATGTACTGTTCCCTTTTTTTCCAGGAATGTTCTTTATCTCAATATACTCATGGTTTTCTCTCCTATCTGCTTTAGATCTCTGTTCAAACCAGATGTTGTGAGGATTTGAATATCTTTACTTAATCACACCCTACCTTCACCCTTATTCAACATACAACCCTTTAATCCTATTTTTTCTACTCCTTTTCTATGATTTATTTATATCAGGGCCCTTCCCACCCAACATATTTAGATGTCTATTTATTTCTTACCTGACACACCCCTTCAAAAGAGAGAAACTCCTTGTGAGAAGGGATTTTATATTATTCACTAGTAGCTTCTCAATAAATAATTTGGAATAGATGAAATTCAGAAACTGCATGTACTAAATAAAATAGATATATCCACACAGTACAAATGAGAAAAACAGAGACTCAAGACAATTTGAATAAGAAACTCTTACAAATTAGTAGGTGGCAAAGTCAGGATTCAAATCTATGTAATTATGAATCCAAAGCTCTGAACTTTTTCTGTCAGCTTTTTCCAAAGTAAAAAGCAATGCTATATTATTCTACCTCTAGAATAGCAATTGCTTAACCAATTATCTGGCCAATTATTTTAATTAATTAATAATTACAATTAATTTTTTTGTCCAACTTCTTTTCTTGCTTAATTTTTAAAAATGGAAATGTCACCTTTCAAATAACCACCTACATATGCTGAATACATGTTTATTTGAGCAACATGTACAAAGGTTTTACTTAAATATATCTTTTTAATAAAAGTGAATAATTTTGTTTTTGTCTTTATTTCTTTAATTTCTTTTTTTTCCCCTGAGTCACCTATTAATTGAGGCTGACACTTGCAAGATTATTTTTGTTAGGTCTTTCTTATGGCAATTCATTCAAAGTCTCCACACAACAAATGTAAAGCCACCAAAAAAAAGTTTATATCTCTTCATGATTTAAAAAGCTAAAACACATTACATAAAGCTTTTCTTCTTGTAAGAGTTCCTGCTATCACTCTTGGCCTTTCATGCTTCCTTATAACGTCTGGATGGAAAGGATAAATACTGTACTCATAACTTTTGAACAAATTAAAAATTCAGATTCCATTTGATAAGATGTGTGTGTTTTCAACAAATTATAAAATAAACAGTTATACTGCTTCTTAAATTTTCACCCTGATAAAACATGGTAATTTCACTAGAGCATTTGATCAATCTACACGAACATCTTTAATTATAATAATAAAAATATTGCTAAGTAGTTTCCAATTAAAAGCTTTGGCCAAAAGTTTTTACTTGTACAGAGTAATTTTAAATAAATATTATTTTTGTAAATATCTCAAATGCAAAAATCATAACTAAATTTTTCTCTACATGCTTTTAAATCTGTTCTAAGAAAATAACCTAAAACATTTAAAAAATGAAATATGAAATCATGTGAAATGTGATAAAAGGTGAAATGGAAAAAAGAATCAAATTAAATTAAAAATATGCAAAATTATGTTCATTATGTAAACTATATACATGACCAAAGGAATGAGCTGGAAGGAACATGCCTGAAGTAGCTATCTCCTCAAAACAGTGCTGGGAGAATTATTAATGAAAATATTTTATGATACTTTCCAAATTTTGTAAAGGTTGCCTTCATTACTTTATATTCTAAATGGCTGCAACATTTAACAAAGTAAGTTGAGGCTTCCAGCATGTGCACCGGAGAGCAGTAGTTAAACACAGAAGGCCTGATTCAAGTTCTCACATGAGACTGGTACTGAAATTCTTCAAGTTTTAGTTTCTGTAACAGTGAACTGAGGCACTATAAGTGACCACCTAGGGCAATGTGAAAATTAAGTGGGACGTAAAAGTGTTTATAAGTGTTCCCGTGACAAAGTAAGCATCGGACACTAGGTTTGTTGCAGGGTGCAAGGCAGGAGAAGAGGCCGGGAGACACAGCACTAAAAGGAGCCTGAAGTTGATTCTGGGACAAGGGCATCTTCGGATGATTTTTAGTAGTCACAACACTGACAGATTAGTATTTTTGGATAGCTCCTTCTGAAGTCTGCATGGAAGGTGCATGTGCAATGGAAAAGTATTAGCCAGGGCTCTTACAGAATCCTAAGAGCTGGAATGGCTATAGGAATGGAAAGAAAGGAGATAACTTCAAGAAAATACTACTTCCCAAATCTCTTTCTATAAATATATAGGACATAAAAGGAATCGTTTGGTGAATTACAAGCAGTTCTCAATAGATTATCTGGATATAAAGCTGAAACTCTAAGGAGTTCTGTACAGATGCAAGAAGTTAATTTAACTTATTCATATAAAATTATCCAAAAAATTTATTGACTAATCAACCTATCCACTGCACTTATTCACAATGACAGTAAATTCTTGTTACGTAAAGGTTGTTTCTTGGGTACATTTGATTTGCTTGATACACCTGTGTACACTCACGCCAATGCCATACTCTTTTTACAACTAAAGCTTTTTAAAAAGTCTTGTCACATAAAATAAATTCCAAGTTGTCCATACTGTACCTTATTCTCCCTCTTCAAAATTGTCTTGACCGTTTTTGGACCTTAACAGAATTGTGATAAGTTTCATGAAAATCTGTGGTAGAATTGTGTGCTAATATTACACTGAATTTATAGATCAACTTGGAGAGCTGATTTCTTAATGACACTCAATCTTTCCATGCATGAATGTGATCTATGTCTTCAACCCTTTTGTTGTTGTTTATCATAAAGACTTATAATTTTCTCCATAAAGATATCCTACATCTTTTGTTCGATATATCAAAAGTATCAAAAAGTTTTTTATCATGTTAATTATAACCTCTTCCAAAAATCACATTTTCTTTTTTCTACTTTTTTTATTAACATATATTTGTCATACATATTAATCACATTCATTGTAGGGAATTTTTTGCCTGTACCAAATATATATTAATTATTCTTTTCTACCCATCACTCCCCCTTCCCTCCCTTCAATCCTTTTCCCCCTTGCATTGACAACTGGTACCCGTTATTTCAGCTATATGAAGAATACTACTGATTCTTCTATAGTCACGTGTTGTTGAAGGACAGGGATGGATACCACCTGATAAATGTATTATCAGGTGATTTCATCCTGCTGGGAACATCACAGAGTGTATTTACACAAACTACGATGGTTACAATGTCACAAGGCCATATAGTGTTAGAGGACCACTTTCAGATACAGTATATAATCCCTCATTTAAATAAATGTCATTATTTGCAGTACAACGTACAGATACAGATTTGGGAAGCACTATGAAAATCAAATATTTGTAATAATAACAGATGCTATATTTCCATTAAAGAGTACATTCTATGCACCATCCTAAGCACTTATATAATTCTACTTATTTCTCAGGAGAACGCCATAACACAGGCACAACTGCTACCTTAATTTAGACCAGGAGACTGAGAATTAAATAAGAAAAAGAAGAGCACGACGGTGCATGCCTGTAATCCCAGCACTCTCGGAGGCTGAGGCAAGAGAATCACAAATTCAAGCCCAGCCTGGGCAATTTAAGGGACTTAGCAAGACTCTGTCTCCAAATAAAATGTAAGCTGGATGTGGTGGTGTACACCTGTAATTCCAGATTTGGGAGGCTGAGGCAGGTGGATTACTGCAAGCTGAAGGTCAGCCTGAGCTCCACAGTGAGTTCAAGGGTATGCTGAACTACATAACAAGATCCTATCTCAAAAACACACAACAGCAAAGCCAAAACTTCAGAAAAGGAAACATAAGAAACAGGCTGGAGAAGTAGCTCTGTGTCCTGGTCCTGGGTTCCATCCTCAGTACAAGAAAGGAATAAAGGCAGGGAGGGAAGGAGGAGGGAGGAAGTGAGGAAAGTTCTCACTCGAATTTCTCAAATGTAGAGAGATACAGTCAGATAAAACATGAATGTTTCCCCTCTGATTTCAAAATTAAATCCTAGCCCAAAGCCAATACAGTGCAGTGGAATGATGAAGATAAAGGCAAGTTTTGTGGGGGCTCCCACCCAGTGAGTTGTCAAAGGAAAGCCAAGGAGCAGAAAACACTGACGATAGCTTTTGTTTCGGTAAAGTCTGGAGAAGGAAAAGATTAGACAGTAACTAAGAGGAACTCAAGGTCAACGGGAAGCTGTTGGGAGATGCTGGATGTTTTTCAAGTTTTTGTTAAGATCAACAGTCTCTGCTCCTTCGAATATGTCGTATTTTCCAGCCACAGTCTTTCTCCCTGATGCCTTCTCGGTGTTTGCCTCAATCAGAGAAAGACTGTATCCAACAATGCCTTCTTTTTGAATATCTACTATCCATAAACTGGCATTCTTACATGACTTCAACAGCTTACACATTTATGAGCCTTAGTAATTCAAGTTTGTGGAACAAAAAAAAGGATTTTAACTGTAGAAAATTAGCCTTAATCACGAGTAGGATGGCAGGTCATAAAAGAGACATGAAACACTATTTGATCCTAGGCAAAAGGCCGAATATCAAATGCTTTACTTTGACATAAAACATTTAACAAAATTAAAACATAGGTAAAATATTTTTAAAACACCGTACTCTGGCAGCAGAAGCAAAAGAATCCGGGCCATGAGCTGCATTTCTTATGCCATCTGTTCCGAAGAGGGCTCTGATGCTCCCAGGAGCATCTGTACGTGCCAGTTCAGAGTTTGCAGGGCCAAGCAGCCTTTTCCACTCACAGATAGCGTTGTCTCTTAAAATCTCCATGGCAACAACAGGTCCACTTGTACTGAACTGGATCAGCTCACTATAATACAGCAAAAGAACGACAGATTTTTTTTTTCTCTGTCCATCTAGGCAATTCTCTTAACAAAGACATATTTAAACTCAAGCATCTCAAACAGATACATGAATATTATGATCTCAGAATTACTGTGCATAAGCAAATTTTACAGCAAGATAAAATTTTCATAAATTGAGAGTTCTATAGCGGTCCAATTCACTTTAAATCACTATATTACTAATTGATTACTATTAGTAGGGGGAAAAAAATCACTATTTTGTGGAATTGAGACTGGTGGTTTTACTGATTTAAAATGCATACTACTGGGGCCGGGGATTTAGCTCAGCGGTTCGGTGGCCTGCTTGCAAGCGCAAGGACCTGAGTTCAATCCCCGGTACCTAAAAAAAAAAAAAAAAAAAAAAAAAAA